AATGAGAAAAATTACTTTTATTTCAAGAGCATTTTTGTTCGGAATGCTTATAAGCATTGCGTGAGAAAATGAACGGAAGACATCGACTTTCAATGTAAGAATTGAGTACACAACACTCGGCCATGTTGCTTTGAATTAGTACAAAAATACACGTTGCACTTGCTATCTCTTTCTGTTTTGTTTCAGGGCACCGTGAAACATCTAATGGTGATACAGTAAGTCTTAATTCACAACACTTTATTCACAGCAATATTTTCTATTTCTTTCTCCAGGCGTCTCTAGGAAATGTTTTCATTTAATTAATTACAAGTGATCGCTTACAACTCACGCGTTTATCTGTAAATAATTTAACATCCCAAGTGGATGTATCATTTATCATTATGCTTTGCAGTTACGCTTTGCGGCTATCACACAGAATAAATCGTCACGATAACGTAAAATTGTCAATTTGCCAAGATGGCGAAAAATGTTTCGTATTTCGTATTTGATGCTAGCTTTGGTAATTGGTGATAATTGTGTTCATCCTTGTTTTTTTTTTGTTTTTTATTTAAGCAATTTTTCCTTGGCTGTGTCCATTTAGACATTAATAGCCAAATTTTCACATGATATTAATAGGCAAATTAAGCATTAATTAACTTCCTATGTGTGCCATTCCCAGAAATGTTAGCTTCTATCGGTCTCTGACAGCCATCTCCAGATATTTACAGCTAAGCTTGGTTTTCGATCGCTTAAATATCCTGGTATAGTACAGTATCCAAACATTTTGTATAATGTTGTGCGATTGCCGTTTTATTGTTCAAACATGATGAAGAAAAGAAGGCCTCAGAACACCACAATCACAAAGTCAATAACCATCGGTTTTAGTTATAAGGTCGGAGACCATATTTTGCATTGATGTTCAAGTTGAGCAGTTGATATTGATTCGCTAATATTGGATCCTCCGAACGCAGGGCTCCAGACATCGTCAACTTCGTTCCTTCTTCTTCCGAGGTACGAGTTCATGAGGTCAGTGCCCGGGGGTCAGTGTATTTGGAGAATGCTAATGTCGCCGACAAAAATTGTGCTCCAACCCATCTTCCAATTCAAATTCCAATCACTTTTATCGATCCTAACAAATATTTCCACTGACCGTTTTCTGTAACTGTTACATCTCCCTGACTGTTCTCCTAATTGACCGGATGCGAAATAACGCTGTCTCACACTGATCGATAAACCTGAAATCGTGACTTGTTATCCTTTGACGCAATTTTAACAGTACACCTCCTAGTCTCCTTTTGTGAAAACATCGTTCTATTAATCCAAAGAGGATATTCTGCAAATATCACATTTCCTTTGAAAACAATATGAATCGTATTGCCATTTAACGCAGCCTCCATATCATATGGAATTTTGTTCTCTCTGTCAAAAAATTCATCGCACATAGTCCGCTTTGAGTCTATTTAACCTTGTCGCCTATGAGGTGCAATAACTCTCACGAAATAATAGCCTAACCATCGAATGCTATTAGCTTGTTTCTCTTGTATATTGTACAGATGAAGTCTGTGTATTTGATACAACATTACAACACTTTGTGTCAATGTTGTGTTGTGTTGTCTTAATGTTTACACTTGCGAATGGTTTGTTTTGATATTAACATCCGTGTTTCGCATACCGACATTACGTATGCATTTATTTTAAACCTTACCGCAGCCTTTGTGTAAAATCCGAAGTGCATTTTCAAACACCTGGACAATCATTGGAATTCCAAACACCGTTCGATATGCTGGTGGTTCAAATACGACATTTTTGTAATTTCTCGTAATTCCTCATTGAGTCATTACATTTTCTCACTTTGTGTGTTGCATGATCGTGTATTATCCGAGGGACATCCGTGTTGTTTTCTTTATGAGCGATTGCTGACCCCCGCACATTGCGGTTAACCATTGCTCTAACCTCAAGGATCGTAGACATTCAAATTCCTTATACAAGCCTATAACTAACCACAGATCGGCTGTTCAATTTGACAGCTCGTTCTCGAAACAGATGCGATATTGGTCGGTTGTGATAACCTCGCTAGATGATAACTAATACGGTTACCCTGAATTATTGAACCCCATCTAGACCGTTATTAACTCAGAAATTCTGGTCCGGGGTCTCTTAGGCTATATATGATCCCCGGGTATGAACACAACCAGTATTTTGTTCTCTTGCAATTTGCAATACATAAATCTTAACTATAAATCATGTCATTTAAGGATAACATTGTTCAGACATGTATTCTTTTTGCGGTAACCAAGGAGAAGATGTATAACAGAGTAAAAAATTCAAGATTAGTTTTTCACCGATTTCGTATCTTTCTTCTTATAACTAAAATCGATGAATGCTGGTGGGGGGGGGAGTACTACATACACGCTTTGTTTGCATATTTTCCAATTTGCAACTTTTTCCTGCAGTTTTCTTAATATGACGCAATTTGAATTGAAATGCATTTGATATAGCTAGTTTGGTATCTTTATACAAAATGCATGGTTTTCATGAAGAAATGTTGGACTAGGAACAACACCAATTCAAACGATAGAAATATATATTTTCCATAAAAAAAACTAAACTGATTTTGACTAAATTTTGTTTAAACGTATTTAAAAACCTCGCGTTTCCAAATTGAAACATTCAATTAATCTTTCAATTAGTCTACAGCTAGATTTAATTTTAAAATATCCTAAATAACTATGATCAGTCGAACAATCTAATATTTCATGGAAAAACGCACGTGACACCAAGGATTTTTGAATTTGTCGATTTTAAAATGAAACAGTGACTATTATATGTCATCATTATCCAATAGAAAAAAACGACCATTTGTTTATAAATGTTAGAAATGGAAACACCGAGGATTTACACTTCAAATAAAAATGAATGAAAAATGATTATAATCAAGTTATTAATTATCCTTTAACAACTTACTAGCATAAAAATGTAACAATGTCAGACAACCAACTTTCGTATGCATTCATAAATTTGCATATACGAGTTTATTTGATATGTTTAATATCCACTTATCAAATCGCGTAGCAAAGCGGAAATAGACATGTGCCAGGGGCAACGAGAAGCGGCCTTCAAACGAAAAATAGGAGAGTTTCATGATTATTTATTAAATTAGCTCCTCAATATTATTGGATATGAAAAACATACTTTCTATAACATCATCAGTGTCAATTTCGCAGCAACATGCAATTATATGCTTGTCCTCGGAAGAGGTAAACCCCAGGGTTCAGAGAATACATTGCGTCCGTAATGTAAATGTGTATTGAGAAGACATCGGCGCTGATGGGTTAAATCGACGGACGAATGACGTCATTCAAAGGCGGATTCAAAATTTTCTAAAAACGCTTCAAATATTGTTATGATATTGGCGTGTTAACCGATATCATAGCTTGTTCTTTTCACATCAAGATAAAAAATATAAAGAACATGCTAACATTGATTAAAACATCACAATGATATGTGATATTCGGAGTAAGCCAGTTAAGATTCGGAAAACGAAGGTGGTAAGCAAGAGACGTTATTCTGTCTGTCATCAGCGCTGAGGTTTTCCCTCCTCTTGGTCGCAATTTAATAACACAGCTAGCCATTTTGTGTGTCAATAGATGACACGATTTGATTAGCAGTAAGCTCGAGGACAGGGCAGTAATGTACTTGATTATTTGATATATGTTAGTTTGTCAAATCAGTAAATTATGTGAATGAATAAAATCGTCCCAGGACCCATGGTCCACCGTACGGTTGTATTTGGTATTGGTTGGTTCATTAAAATGACGACATCTGTCATACGCCTGCATGTATTTTTAAATCCATCATAATAAACACAGCCAGTGAACCAACGTTGGTCAAAATGCGAAGGTCCCGTGAAGGGGTTCCCAAAGGGTATGTCCGTTTTCGAAAAAAGTGGATTTTTCACAAATAAGATTTACACACGTTATTTTCGAGGTCCTTTAATTTTTTCTATTTGGAGTTATTTTAGTCTTGAGATTTGAACATCCGAAAACTAATGATGATGGATAAAGGAAAATCCAAAACATCCTATCGCAGCGCGCAACGGGTATCCCCATCAATGAAATGAATTAAATTCTATGCGTCACACATCAATGCAAACCAATGTTGAGAAACATAAAAATAATGACTTTCATTCTAATGTACTTGGTGTAATTTAATTTAATGGCGATTAAATGCGCATTGCACGGTTAAATATACCTCTAAATATATCATTACTTTATATGTGCCCTTGCACTTGTTTCGACTCGCCGATAAACAAACCTGTACCTTAAGTACTCTTACAAATATTAAATAGGTCGTTTTAAGTACTACTGCCGTTCTTTACCATGTTAATTAATACAAGACCTCACCCTCGCATCCCTTTCAAATAATTATGTTTTACTTTAACCTTTGGGGGATTGTGTTCTGTGACCTCAAGAATCCGTATAGGTGACCTCTAAGATGTATGTTTATCAAATTCAGGAAAAGTACATGTTCCTTTGTTTACTTTTCATTTTTGCACTTCAAAATGCCAAGACAGACGGGCCAAAAGGTGAGTTTTATGCCAGGTGTTTCCCGCTTAACAGATGTAGATTGTAAGAGTCTAATCTGTAAAGGTGCACCTTGAACAAAGCGCGTCGTTTACAGAATAAGTGATTTTAGAGACATCTATAAATCGAACTAATATTAAAACGACTCTGATAGATATCAATACATATACGCACCACTGAGGCTTGGAATTAAATTAAATACTAATATATAAACAAAGTCTATAATATCATGGAGACGAGGCATTTAAGTAATTTAACCATGACCGATTATGAATGCGGTCGAATTAAAAATAAATTCAAGGACTATCTTCTCATAAAGACTTATGACGGCGAGTCTTAATCGATACATTATAATTTATTATTTAGAATGCGTTGATGCATGGGCTGAAAGCTCTTGGTTGATGTAAACAACCATATATCAATATAATTGTTTCATATTAAGTTCGTTTTAATTTAGCTAATATTCAACAATTACGTTGATATAGCAACATGAAAGCTTAATTGAAACAAACTAGATAAAAAACGTTTGAAGCAATTTGTTTATATATTTTGCATTTGTACAATGTCTTTATAATATCAGAAATGGAATATAGATATTTAAGTTCAAAGCCGAGGATAAATACTTTCTTTTATCCAATCATAGGATTTATTTTGTTAACAATAGGCAGCATTGAAGCTGGGAAAAGGAGTAAGTAATTCGATTTTATGACTCACTTTGCATTCTGACACTCATAACATCTTTCCGTTTACTGAAACATCTCAGGGCTGAGAAGAAATGAGATGTCATGGTTTATCATGATGCTCAATTTGTGCAGAATTATATGATTTCAAGACTGGGCTCTTCTTGACTAAACTAATGCAGGGTTCGTTCTGGTGTATCATTTTGTGACATCATAATTAATTGATTATAAGTATCAACGTTACTTTATGTAGCTAGTAATGAGCAAGTTAAAGGAACATTGGATTGGATCATGGGCTTTCAATTAGAGTTGAAAGCCCATGATTGGATCAAGGATGTCCTTGATTGTATATACGTAATATGACAAAATCATTAACAAAAATTCATTTTATGCGAGATCAATGGTGCATACGATCTAATTGGACAAATATTACCAAATTATTTCTAAATTGTTCTGCCCTGCGCATATAGAGTCTAGTTCAATGGACGAAGCTCTCTTTTAAGAAGCGAAGTCGAACGAATTCAAAGGGTAAATTAGTTCAAATACTTCAAGCATTTCATGATCACATTTCAAATTATCGCGTTTACTATACGTGATTGCTTTTACGATGGGATAACCCAGAATTCAAAGATGATCCAGCTTTATGTTCCCCTTGGACGTTCATCTTCCTCATCTGAACATGAGGCCCCTGGACTATCTACCCTAATAACTGTTGTTAGAATAGATAGTCCTTGTAACAAGACTTATAAACAGTAAAACTACGAACAAATATACAATCCCGATTTCCTGTAACATAAGCTCGTGGCATACAGGTAACCATATTTTCTTTAGAATATAGCATCTGAGATAAGATTCGAAACCCGACGTCTGTTCCGTCATAAAAATGTCATCCAACTGTTTATAATTCTCATTTAGACAAATCAACAGCACTGAGAAGGGTGTGTTACTTTTCAACATGGTTCCAACAGCTGTCTCCGCAAGACATCGATCCCCATTGTTGTACCCATATTATCGTTGCGTTTGCTGGCATGGTTGACAACAAAATTACTACGGGACAACCACATGATGATTTCCTAAAGTTAGAGAAGTTGTAAGTTTATCAATCGGACCCGATGCATATTCATATAATATATTATTTTTCACACATTATAGTACCAATATATGCTATTTGGCCATGGTTTTCTTCTGTATCTATCAAGTGTGCATATAAGTTAAATTAGATAAAATCATAATCAGTAATGGCCGTTTAATGTGAAAAGCATACCATAATTGTCACATTGTCATATTTTACAGTGTATTTTTGAAACCGTAAACCCATTAATTATTCACACCAACCAACATTAATTTAATTGTTTCAATGGGATAGGTGCACAATTAATATTTATATGATAATATCGTACTAAAGGTACCAGCAAGTGATAAAACTAAAACAACAGAATCCAAAGCTCAAAGTTCTGCTGGCCGTTGGAGGTTGGGACTATGGTACCGCTGGTTTTACGGCTATGCTCGCCACGAGAAACACTCGCAAAGTATTTATCCAATCTGCCATTAAATATCTTCGAGGCCGTGGTTTTGATGGCATTGATCTGGATTTTTTATATCCAGGCGCCAGAGGAAGCCCGCCTGACGATAAGCAACGGTTAACAATGCTGACTAAGGTAAAACAGTTAGTACCTCAATTGAAATTCTCAATTCTGATTGGTTGATATGCGGTCAGCAATATGTACTGTTGACCGCTACTATGTACTGTTGACCGCTACTTTTGAAAAAAATTAAATTTTGTGATACAATGTATGGCCACCCAGTAATTAATGTTGGTGTAATTTATGGCCCCCACATGCTTGTTGAGTACAAACAGATGGAGGGGGTCGGCGGAGGGGGTGGTATGACTGTACGCCTGCTTTTTAAAATCAAAGTGCAATCACGTTTTATTTTTATAACCATGGCCTGATCTCTATAAGTCAGTACTCGTCATCCGCACGGATCAGATAAAAAAGCACAATAAAACCTTGAATGTTTTTCTCGATTTAAATTCAATTTGTACACTTTTTTGCACACAGTGAGCAAAAAGCATGGTTTATTAAAAACGTTGACGTTTTAGGAAATGAAACAGTTATTTAAGAGGGACAGTAAAAAAGGAAAGAAGCCAAGCTTGTTATTGGTTGTATCGGTGTCTGCAACAAAGACGTTTATTGACAAAGGATATGAGGTGAAAGAACTATCAAAGTACGTCCTAATAACACATTATTTATCTGGGTATTAGCTTGTTTCTGCTGGTCGTAGTATATCATTGCAAATTATATATAAAATAGATAAAATTATTAATTGTATTTGAATATTATTGAAATAAAAAAAAACATTTACTTCACAACAAACTTAATCACAAGGTGCATACATCATGATAAACCATGGCATCTCATTTCTTCTCAGTCTTGAGATCGATCTGGTGAAACAGAAAGATGTTCTGAATATCAGAATTGCAACATAATATCAACGTAACATAATTTTAGGAACTGTGATTTTCTCATTTTGATGACGTATGATATGAATGGAGTTTGGAACAAAAGAACAGCGCACCACGCTTCACTCTTCTCTGCTGACAAAACAGACGTAGTACGTAAAAACGTAGTCTGTAAGGGAACATGGGGCAAAGCGGCCCAAAAAATTTAATTTTAAGTTGTTCTGTACGGGGTATTTTCGTATCTGTCAATCATCGCGCACTTTGATGTTCCACTTTATTAATGGTTTGTGGTTTACATTTTTCGAGTGTTTTATACTTTCCTAGGACTATCTTCTGTGATTTTTCAATGGTCAAAAATATGTCGAGAGTGGGGCAAAACGGCCCATGGGTGGGGCAAAACGGCCCACCCTCTGTTACATGGGTTTTGAAACCAAAATTAATCAATTACAAGACTCGTCCACAAACATCTTATCTCAGACGTTCAAACCTTTGACAGATAAAGTATTCTTAACCCCTACCATAATTCTAGTCATTCGATATGTGTCGGAGGGAAATAAGGCACAAGCCAGATGTTAAAATTGTTACATTTGAAAACCAATTGTTCTTGCAAAATAAGATTTTTGTATGTTATAACATGTGTGGGCCGTTTTGCCCCAAAGACATGTGAATTTTCAAATAGACGTCATTTTAATTTGCCTAATATTTGAAGCTCGAAATTTTTACAAATAAAGAATAAACGTGCACACTCTATGTAAAATGTTAAATCAAAACGATATTCTATTGTTGCCGGGTTTTTTAGAGATTCTCGTGAGAGGGGTAATTTCCAAAAAAGAGGGTGAAAAGTAGAATTACCTCTTACGTAAAGCGAGACGCTGCTTGGTTAAAAATGGACGGTCGAGAAGGTGGCAGATATTTCAAAATTCGATTTTGTGACTTTTGAAGAACCATCTTTTTATAGTTCAAAAGATATTTCGATGGGCCACTTTGCCCCAGAGGGCCGTTTTGCCCCATGTTCCCCTAGACTGTTTTCATTCTTATCCTGAATCGTATGACATCTTCCTGTTTGTTGTTAAACCATCTGACTAATAAACAATAAGCAGTATTAAAATCGTCTAGGATCAAACCAGCATATTTAAACCATGGGCGTCCAAAAAGATCCGGCAAAATAAAAAAAATGCACGTGTAATTGAAAGTTGAAATTGAGTTTAGATAACAAACGTCTTTGAGACCATTTTACAATGAAAATAACAGTGTAAGGTATTCATATTCATAAGCTTTACAATTATTGAAGAAATGGGCAGCCGAATACTGGGTATCGAAAGGCGCTATCAAAAGAAAACTTGTGATCGGATTGCCAACTTACGGGCGAACGTACACTCTAATTGGCGGCCACACCCTGGGGTCTCCCATTTCAGGACCTGGGCGACCGGGTAGCATCACAAATGAAACAGGGTTTATATCATACCCCGAGGTACGTATGGAACCATATGATTTGCATACTGCTGATTGCTGTTGACTATATTTTTCAGCGAAATTCGGAATTAATTAATTTTGCTGACAGTTTTTACTAAAACTTGTTGACAGGTTTGCGAACTTCTCAGACAAGATGGCCAGAGGTTTTGGATAGATGACCAAAAAGTGCCGTATGCGACGTTAGGAAATCAATGGGTGGGTTACGATGACCCACAGAGCGTCACTGAAAAGGTATAAACTTTCAACGTTTTTGACACATGTCTATATAAGGTGGCTCATAATGTTAATTTCAGTCATGAATAACTTCACTTGTGCAAATCAATTGATGATGACGGTGTTATGACTAACTCAATGGATGATGTAATGTCGAAATTGTTTGATTACTATAGTGATATGTACAAGGAAAATTCTGATATTATTTATACATTGGATGAGTTTACAAATGAAGTAACTATTCCATCTTTGAATGAGGCTGATAAGTTAAATTGTGAGGGTTTAATTGATGAACATGAATGTACAAAAGATACGACGTCAGATACTGTACATCACGGCGTAACAGTGTAATTGTTCATTTTACCGACAAAATGCAAAGATTTACGCGATAAATATGCGCAATGCTCCTCCAATTAATTGCAAACGTTTTAATATTAGTGGAATCTTCTTAAAAACTTCAAGTTTTGTTCAGATTAATGTGCGCAATTCTATATTCAAAAAGGTTGTGTCACGATATACAGAATTAGAATCACCAGAAAGTAGACATTTCAAACCCTACCCGTTTTCTTCTTTGTCGCGCTTTTCGGCCATGCGCTCTCGTTGTCGCACCGTCTTTCTAGACTCTTTCACAATGCCCCTTGTCATATTCAACTGATAAACACAGACGGGATGATATTAAGGATTGCTAAATGCATTATTTGTAATTTATTTTAACTCGAATATTTAGTTTTATTTATTTAAAGCAATGAATAATAAAGGAGGACATATAATACGCTAACGGCGTAACGTCTTATTTTGTAAAGGCTTCACTTGGGGTTGCGGTGATAAAACGATGTATATCTCAATATATACTGGTTCAAATTTAATGAAATTAATTGTATGTAGTAAGGGGTATATTTAAAAGAACATGCTGAAACATTGGAAAGTTTTGAATGTTTATCCCTTAATTAGAAATATTTGAACTCAAAAAATGAAACGTAATTTTGTGAATTTTTCACATGGCTTCACTTCATATTTCTTTCAATTTATACTTCTTACAGACTGAATTTTAATCGAAATGATATAGTTTTTTGATAAAAATATAGAATATGATATACCTTTCGGGAATCAAAAAAGAATATTTCACCTTTCAAGCGATTTAATGTTTAATTGATCAAAATATATATCTTGTTGGTATCTTGTTGGAAATTCTGCCTGTCGACACTTTTTTGCATATAATATAAGCGTTAAGTTAGCATTGTTATATTATGACGTCATCACACAGAATCTGTTTGTCTTTTTCAAAATGGTGAATTTAAATATGGTGAAAATTTGAGAAAGATCCGTTGGGAAATGAAAAAGTTATCTTCATTTTTCGTTTAAAATTAAAATCACTTTTCTTCATAATGTTACAGTCGACACCCGGTTTTAGCATAGAAAGTCGCATAGTACGGCTTGCGTGATTCTCATTTAAAAAGTCCCAAATTAGTTATTTGGAATTCTGATAGGCAAAATATTTCATGGACATACGTGTTCAACTGATGACGAAAAATTGTAGAAAAATATGATTTTGCTGTCGAGATATTGCGGTTTTAAAAGTAAGTACGCATGTAAAAATGCAGTAAAATGCCGCGATGTACAGTATCTGACGTCGTATCAAAAGCAATAAGACAAATGAATTCTGATAGCAGCCCTGGAATTGACGGGTTGACTCCAGCTTTTTACAAAGTGTTTTGGGTTAAAGTGAAAACACTAGTTGTAAATTCATTGAATTTTGGTTTCCAATCTGGTCAGTTATCAACTAGTCAGAGACAAGGGATAATCATACTTTTACTTAAAGGGAATAATTTACCAAGAAACAAGCTAAAATCATTTCGTCCAATATCTTTAACATGCTCAGATTATAAGATTGGGGCTACAGTTCTTGCAAACAGATTACAAGTGGTCATTAAAAAGTTAGTAAATAGTGATCAAAATGCATACCTTAAAGATAGAGGAATACACCTTAACCTGAGATTAATAGATGATGTCATGAACTTTATATATAATGATGACCAAGAAGGAATTATTGCAGCACTGGATTACAGCCGGGCTTTTGATTCAATTTCTAAAAAGTTTGTATTTAGAGTTTTGGAAAAGTTCAATTTTGGGCCAGAATTTCAAAAATGGATAAAAGTTTTTAACAAAAATACAAAGTCCATGGTTTCTAATAATGGAGTTTTCACAAATTCTTTTAATCTAAATCAAGGTTTGAGACAAGGTTGCCCTTTGAGTTCTCTGATTTTTATTATATCAACAGAAGTGTTTGCTTGCAAAATACGTCAAGATAATAACGTTGAAGGCATCAAGATAAACAACACCGAAATCAAATTGACTAGTTATGCAGATGACACAACGATTTTTATTAAAAATATTAAATCCTTGGAAAATATACTGATTCATTCAAATAATTTCTATAAAACTTCTGGACTAAAACTAAATATGATTAAAACAAAAGCAATGTGGCTTGGAAAAAATAAGAATAATGTTAATACTCCATTGGGAATTGATTGGCAAATTGGAAAATCAGCAAAAATTAAAATACTAGGTGCTTATTTCTCTAACCATAAATCAGCACATTTGTTAGATGAAAATTGGAGAGATAAAATAGATAAGATGGAGTGCATTATGAAATGCTGGGACAAAAGAAAATTATCTTTAGCTGGTAAAGTGTGTGTGTTAAAAAGTCTCATTTCATCACAAATTTTACACATGTTAATGACATTCAAATGTCCAGATAACTATTTAAAAGAGCTCAATACAAAAATGTACACATTTTTATGGAAAAAATCAGGTAAGGGCTCAGAAAAGATTAAACGAAAAGTATTACGGCAATCATACAAAGATGGTGGAATAAATATGGTAGATGCTTTTTTAAGTCAGGAATCTCTCATTCTCACTTGGGTTAAAAGGTTTATGAATGGTGAAAATTCAATGTGGAAAGGTGTTAGTAAAATAATTTTAGCCAAAACAGGTCATGATTTTGATATTTTTATATGTAACTCAGATCTGAAAGATCTAAAACCTCAAATTAACCTAGATATGCTCCCAGAATTTTACTCCTTTCTATTAAAGACATGGTTCAAATATCGAGAGTATGATGAAGAAATCTGTAAATCAGATTTATTATGGAATAATCGATGCATTGTGTTCAAACATAAACAAATGTATTTTAAACAATGGAAGGATGCAGGTATCAATTATGTTGCTGACATACTGGATACAAATAAACATGTTAAGTCATTAGAATTTGCAAAATTCTAATGAAAAATGCAAAATAATGCAGCCATTGTTCTGGAATACAATGTAATTCGCAATGCAATGATTAATAAGAAAATTGGTATGAATAGATCAAAAGGTGAGAAGATGTACAATAATGTAAAGATAAAAAACCTAACTTCAAAGGATGTAAGGAAAATGATTCTAAAGAAAGACCAAGTTGTGCCTATTTGCATTGAAAGGTGGAAACATATTTATCCAGATTTAAATTGGAAAAGAAATTGGCAGTTAATTCAAACTCTCAAAGAGCCACGACTTAAGAGCATTCAATATAAGATTTTACATAATATTTACCCAACTAATACTCACCTTTTCAAATGGAAAATTGAAGGAGTTGCCTCAAAGAATTGTACATATTGTAATGAGGAAGATTCATATGCACACTTTTTCATTTCTTGCAAAAGAGTAAAGTCTTTATGGAATGAAGTAGAGTGCAAACTAAATGCTAGATTTGGGCACAGAATTAGACTAGGACACAAACACATTTTATTCAAGTATGAATGTAAAACAAAAAAGGAAGAAGACTACATCAATTATATCATTGTTATTGCTAAGAATTGTATAAGTAAGTACAAATATGGGGAGTATCCCATTTTACTGTGCTTGTTTGATCAAGAATGTAATATTAGAAATGTATAAAATTATGTACAATGATTGGAGAAAATAAATCGCAATAAAAAAAAAAAAATAATAAAATAAAATAAAAAATAAATAAATAAATAAAAAAAAAAAAAAAAAAAAAACTTCACTTGTGCAAACTTTGGCCATGGGTAGTCATTGTCATTTCCGGATGCCCAAACATATCTGGAACACGTAAGTGTGCAACGGTGCATATTTTCGGATAACCATGCGGACTAAGAATTTCACAATGTCTGTTGCAGAGTCTCTGGCTAAAGACGAACGGTTTCGGCGGTGCTTCAATTTGGACATTAAACATGGATGACGTGAATGGGACCTGTACGGGGACCAAAATGCCACTGACCAATGCCGTAAAACATATTCTTGAATGCAAGAAAAATAAATGTGATATAACGTAAAAACGATATCTTTACAAACACTTTAAAAACTACAAAGACTTCAGTCATGTTCGCATGCATAGGTCTGAATATGGGCCTTTATTTTAAACTTTAATTTGCAATGTAATTTGTAAAGCATTTGTTAATAAAAAAGAAAATTCAAACAAGCAATTACAACTTCTATCTTGCTTATATTATTCACTTATGAATTCCAACGTATGCAGTTTATTTAATTTATGGGGTTTTAGACCCAAATTTATATTATGTAAAATACAAAAATATTACTAATATTCTCAAGTATTTGAGCAACAACCTGATTTATATTATTTTAAATCCCACTTGGGTAGCAACACAATAGAATTTGCTGTGGTTTATTTTTAAGAATGTATGGTTTTATCAAAAGGAAAGTGCATTATTTTTCTATTGTTTTTAAAGAATGTACACTTGGCAAGCTATCAAAAACAAGTGAGACATAAATGACCATTGACAGTTTTTGATAGTTTTCATTCCCTAAAAACAATATACAAAAATACATGTACCCTTCTCTTGTTACTGTGCATTCTTTAGAACATATCCAGCAATCGTAATGTTAAATCGGACATCACCTTATCTCCTAACTGGTACTATTACTGAGATTTCGTATCAACACTTTAGTCTACTAAATTATTGTTTAAAACTCATATATGTGAGCGTTAATGCAGGGGCATTTCATACAGCCTATAAACACCGCCCTTTCATTAAATGTGTTTTCTGGTTTCCTTAATTTCGCCAATTTCTTAAGAAATTGATGGATAATTTGAAGATTATATGATCAGACACATAAATATGGCATATACCACATAAGTTTCTCATATTTAGTTGTTGTTTTTTAGTTGCTGTTTTTTGTTGAACCATATATTACGTACATGGATAACGTATTTTATTTACAAGTAGTCTGCATCTTGTATTAGACCAACATAGCATCAAGTTTCACTAGAGCTGCTAAGAACACTTCTTATCAGATGTGTTGACAGCTCTCCTGATAAAGAAAGTGACCGGAGATTTCTGGATTTGATAAAACAATTTATCAATTTTTGTTGCTATCTACATCATTGATCTTATCTTACTTACAAATATTCTGCTGTATTCAAATGCAATGTTCTGGACTGGACGGTCACCTGTAGTGCACTGAAGCTAGACTAATTATAGCCCACTCAGTCACTTAAATCAACTCACACTCATGAGGTCAATGCAACCAACTCTTTTTGTTGTTACAATTAATTGGCTATATAACTACATGAACAGTCAACTCAAAAGAACTCACTCACTTACATGTATCAAACCACTTACCCCTACATGAACAGTCAACACAAAAGAAATAAAATTTTCCAGATTAGATCATTGACCATTTACCTGCAATATACCATTTACCTGTTATAAGAATGTGTGTGATTTAAGTAAGATAAAGCATTCGAATTCGATTTGATAAGAAATAATAACCTCAGGCCTTCGGCCTTCGGTGTATTATTTCTTATAAAATCTCATTCTTATGCTTTATCCAGTACATAAACTTGAATACATACTCGCTCTAGATAATATTTGCCAATCGTACTTATCTCAAGTTAAATATTATCGATTTACAGTCCTCCAGTTCCAACTGGCGCTCCTACAAGGCAGCCCGTCGGTGGGATTTCACTCGCTTCTTCTAGTTTAAGCAGATTACCTGGTAAATATCATCGATTTAAATTACTGATTTAGTTTATTAAAAAATTAGGGATGAAAATAATTATAAACCCAATAAGAAATTAACGCTTTATGTTTACTCGTAGTCGAAATTATCTCGCTTCAAACAATGCTTATCGTATTTGAACAGTTACGGAATTCCCAATGTGTAGTTTATAATAACGTCATACGACGTCAGCGATCACATCGAGGCTATATGAAAGCGAGGCATAAATATGCAAAATTTGTGAAGTAATACCAGCTGGGAGTGGTGGCGTGCTCCTGTAATCCAGTTACTTGGAGGCTGGGATTGTGGAACGGTTTGAGGGCGGGAGTCCTGCTTGTCGGTGCTCTATGTCGATCGGGCGTCCGCACTAAGCTCGGCATCAATATGGTCACCCCTGGGGAGCCTAGGGTGCCCAGGTTGTCTAAGGAGGGACGTACAGGTCCAGGGCGGAAACGCAGCAGACAAAAGTCCCCATGTCGAGCAGTAGTGGGATCGCGCCTGTGAATAGGCGTCGGCTTGCAGCCCGTCCAACACAGTTGGACTCAATTCTTTTTTATTTCATTTTTATAAATATAATATTTAAGCATCGGTTCTATTTTACTTCATCATGAAAATAATCAATTTATTTTATTTTATTTTTTAATTTTGCAGGTTGATCAAGGTAATACAATTATTGCAATTTTATTTTTACTGATTTCTAGCTTGCCCGTGTTCCAACATAGGCAATTTATTATTCGCCGACCCATGCGATTGTTCAATGTACTACCACTGTTCGTACGGCAATCCTTACCACAAGCCTTGTGATGGGGGACTTCGATGGCGAGATGAGAAAAAATGGTGCGACTTTGATTCTATAGCAAACTGTACAATCAATGAGGCTGTTTGTAACAATATAGTAGCAGACAGAAGACCAAAATGTTTCAAGCCATCCCCAAGTTTGCCTGAAGAAAAATCTGCCCATTATTCAAAGCTAGGCCCAGGCGCTCCGGGTGAGCAATTTAGATGTATTTCTCTTATATGTTAAATCCAATTTGGTTATACGTTTAAATCCAATGATGTACCTTGACAAGACAAAGATGAATCTTTAGGCCATATTTCTTAAAATGGTTCTAAGATAAGCACTCCGTTTGGAATTTTAAGGGCTCAGTATGCATGTTATCATTTGAATTATCATTTTTGAATTGTTCTTCTAGCTTGCCCATGTTATAACACTGGCAAACTGTTATTTGGCGATCCTTGTGACTGTTCCATGTACTACCACTGTGCTCACGGTGTGCCGTATCACAAACAATGTAACAACGGGCTTCAGTGGCGGGAGGAAAAAATGTGGTGTGATTATGATTTCCTGGCGAATTGCACAGTTTCTGAGAATGCTATGTGTTCTGATAAAAGTACAAATGGCACCAAGGACTGTATCAAGCGATAAAACTTTAAAAAAAACATACTTAGTCTTATTGGTAATTTGAAGTACGTAGCTGAGTACCACATATATCCTGTGTCATTATAAAGTCGATAAGTCGGATTAATTATCAAATGCCAATATAACGTCATTCGTGCAGCCATTTGAAATCACATGAATCATCAAGATTTCAAATGGTTCAATTAAGAACAATTTGCAGCTTCCAGAACCAATATGTTCTGAAAAAATACGAACCATTCCTTTAATTCTCTGTATTGTAAGCTTGTAAGAAGTACGACGATACATCGAAAGTACAACGATACATCGAAAGTACAACGATACATCGAAAGTACAACGATACATCGAAAATACAACGATATATCGAACGTACGATGGAAACAATCATTGAATGCATTATTTCGGCGAGATTATAGCTCCACTGGTACGCTAAATGATTCATTCTTTCCGTTTACAAAATTCACAAGCAATCAATCATTCCTTCTGTTTACAACTTTCACGAGCTAGTTAGAGACACATTGGCCATCATCAGATCACTTCAGTATCGGTATTCACGTTAAACTTTTGCCAAGTACACGAGGGTGCGATTAGTATCAATGGTGTGACACACTAAACTAAAACGTGTTGGTATATGTCGTGCTGCCTACTTTGAAGGCGTTTTTATTCAGATAAAACATCTATCGACATCATCTGAAATTATGTAATGGAAATATCATGTAATTTGGGAAGATTGTGACCAATAAAAATTATGAATTTCATATTTTCCATTAATTTACAGTGTTATTCACCAACATCAAAATAAATTCACTCCCCTCTAAAAGTTTGGAAACCGGACTGTACTGTATACACTCCCCTCCATAAGTTTGGCAACCGACATAATTATGATGATTTTTTAAAATATTTATATATTTAAGCCTGTTTATATTTGGCGATTTTAAAAAATCATCATAATTATTTCGGTTGCCAAACTTATGGAGGGGAGTGTATACAGTATATCTGTGAATGTGGCCAGCTTTATCCTGGATTCAACTTCAACCGATCCTCCCCTGAGCTGACCTAGCTAGCCTACACAGACGAACTCTGACTTCCCATTCACCTCCAAGGGCGTAACCAGTGCTGGGGGGGGGGGGGGGTAGGCGAGACAAAGATTAAGTTAAAATTGAACAAAAATAAATAAAAACAAAACATAATTGCTTTTTCGTGAACTTCATTTGGAGTCAAAGGTCACCTCGGAAAATAGTTTACCTCTTCAAAATCCATCCATGGAATAATAGATATATAATAAAAATGATATTTTATATTTTTTCAAAATATTAAAATTGTCCCCTTTTTATATTTAGCACTTTCCCCTCTATATAGTGGTATATTCAATCTAAGAAAAATAACGTAATGCTCTTAACATTCGTTGCTCAATTAATATTGTATTTACGTAATCGTACGCGTATATTCAGCTCTATACATTGACGAGTTATAGTAATTGCTCTCATATCCGTCTTCAATCAATCTCTGGGCTTCCAAAAAATACATTTCCGATTAATATGCATGTTTATGTTTAAAAGGGGCATTTTTCTCTATTTTTATGTTAAAATTATATATTATGTTACGAAATGAAAGTACAGCTATTATTACGAATTCCCAAGACAATTACAACTCATTTCGGAACGTTTTTATGCACAAACACAGCGGTCTCTAAGCAGTCATGGTATACATGATGAGGATTGGATATTTTTGTTAACGAGTGAATCGTAATTCAGACATCAGGAGGTAATTAAGTAGTTCTTAAGTGTATGAGAAACCATCCAGGGTGCTCTAACTACAATTTGGTCAACGACTATTTCTGATACATCTCTAAACCGATTAAAGTGTCCGTGAAACCATAAAGGTACCTCTAATATCAATATTTTTATCTGATCAATAATGGATTTGGTATTTTTGTTTCGGATGTAAATATTGAAAAGTAATGTATAATATTCTGAATTTGAATAAATTTAACTTGAACTTTTTCTAATTTACTGTATAGTCTAAATCCTAACATTATGTAATTATTCTTTTCAAATTGAGTTAACACAACTGTTTAGTGTTTAGCTTTATCTTATTGATTCCCGACATTTTGTTATATTTTATGACAAAGTCAACTCAAAGATCATGTATGATTTGCATTCGGTGAGCCTAGTAATATACGATCATATCGTAATAATATAGATAATATACTCATAATCGTGAGGATATTCCTGCAATAATGAAAATAATTGGAGAAACTCTTAATTACGTGTAGTTTCTTAGCAACCTGGATATGCAAATTGTCGTCTGTTTTAGTTTAACCTTCATCACACATGAGATAGAGATATTTGTCTTAACTGTAAAGCGAAATCTTGAAATTTTTAAATGGCCATATAATGACCAAAATAATATCTGGCCATTCATTGGTGTTTATTTTGGGCAAAAATGGTCGAAATTTCCTAGATTTAGAAAGAAAATTATACCGCTCGACAAATTATCGTCGAGTAGTGTGATTTTGAAGTAGTGTGCGAAATGATGATAAAGTGATAATTCATATATTGGAAAAGTATCGTATTAGGCAATGTTACTTTAATGCAATTATGTGTTTATGCGCTTTTAATTGATTTAACATTGTGCGACAAATTCAGACAATACACGGGTAAAATGGGTTGTCCCGGTTCTAGGTAATAGCCGGTCATGAAAATTATACATCATAAATATCCTTGAATTTATATTTTCATGTGGGTTTTGATTTGTTCGCTGTTCCTTGCACCTTGGATCGTATCCAGCGTATTGGATTCTTGAAAGTACGAGTTTTATTGTTATCCTAGTTTCATTATTTGAGAGAAATCTGAATAAAACAATGTAATTTTATTAAAAGGGGTTAAAGTTTTTTACCACTCGGAATAGTGGAAAGCAAACATACTCACGGTTTTAAAATAATGGACACTTCCCACTATTTGTAATATATTGGAAAAGCATCTATTTAAAGAGTAGATCGAATCTGCTATTTAATACAGGGTTCACTGGGTTACCAAACTAACTAAAGATGAGATAAGACAAAAATCTTAAATATCTTCAGATTAGTTTCAGGATGTCACAAGGTAGGACTTTGAATGGGAAATCTTAGAAATCTACAGTATGGTAATACAAAAAGTTATAAATTCACAAACGCTAAAAAACCTAACAATCTAATTAATAATTCGGATATAAATCTAATTAATATACGAACACGGTTTTGCTGCATAATACCTGTATATTATGTTATATATTATACGTTGTAGGAGCAGTATGATTGGCTGCAAGGACTAAACAAGAAACGCGTTAAAATGATATCGCTGACGTTAACGTTTTGGATTGTCTATTTATACGTTGCTGTTCTCCAATGTACTGTTACATACGCAGGTAATTCAATAGGGAAAATTCTAGAGGGGAGGGGGTGTCAGTGAGTTAGTATCATGAGATTTAAACATATAAATTCTAGAGGGGAGGGGGTGTCAATGAGTTAGTATCTATGAATTTTTTAATATATTTATATACGTAAGTGGGATTGCAATGGTTTCTTGCACATTGGATATTATAAAGCGAATAGAAAACATAACTAATTTAGACAATCATATCACTCTAAAACGTACTATATCTTTAACTTTTTGATGGTACGATGTGTGACTTGATAATATTTTACATGTTTTCATCATAACTCTGAAGGCGTTCACGAGATCTCGATGTATTGCGTCTTTTCCATATTTTTAAAAAAGTTAAGAAAAAGAGATGATACATTTGTACTCTGGAACCGTTTTTAATAGCTTTTACTCTTATCGTTATGGGACTTCATACAGAAGTGAAGGTTGCCAGGTATAACGAAATATATGAGTTAACAAATAGTTTGTAGATCTTCTTAGTGTTTGAATGAAAAATAGCATGCTCCCCACGCCTGATAACGTTTTCGATGACAACGTGTGTACATATGGGCCTTTACGTAAAATCAATTTAACTAGAAACGCAATTTACGTTATGCAATATGCTTTTCAGGGTATTATGAATATTCAAGGACGGATCTTTTCAATGATTCTGGGACGCTCCCGGCATCAACTCCGGGCAATGATCAGGTATTTTTGGATTATACACATCCCATACATCGCATAGTGCCGGGAGAAAATGTCACACTAGTTGCCATTTCGGCCTACTTCAAGATTCTACAAGCTGTCGATTTCAAAATCTGGAGAGATCAAGGAAACAGCAGTTGGGAATTGATGCGTTCCCTCCATTTCCAACCATCTCAAACAGACGTCATTGAAACGGTTAGTTAAAGGGATACTCCTTGTCATATCATTTCTTTTTTGATATGGTGACAAAAAACATATATTTTGTATATACCCTGCATATGGTCACATTGATCAGTAGTGCTCATTCATTCCCATCCTGAGATATCACAGCCTTCTCTCAGTTTCTAACCTTGTTTCTAACTTTGTTGCCTATAACAGTATAAGGAAGCTGCACAAAATCACTTCTAGATCCTTACTTTCCGCGCAAACATATTTGTAGGGCTTGTCAAGTTAGAATAAAGAGATTATCTGAAAAATCAAATCAAGGAGAACGTTGAGAAAGAATATTCAGCTGGTTTTGTCCTTCTTAATACCTCCTTACCTAATCACTGGTGATCCGCTGGATTACGCTGGTTGTAACAAAATGTCGGAACGTCGAAGGTACGATTTTTCTTTTTTCCTCATTTCACGCTTTGTAGGCAGAATCCTCACGACGTTTTTTCTCACAAACGTGTATCAGTATTATATCTTTTAGACAATGTACATGTTTGCGAAAAATTAGCTCAGAATTAAGACAACAGAATCGTCGATTTAATTCCTCACTTAAGTTACAGAAACGGTTTGGGTTAAAAGTGCAGATCTTTACTGTTTTTCGAAATACCGTTTCTGTTACTTAAGTGGGGAATCAAATCGACGATTCTGTTGTCTTCTGAACTATTTGTTCGCAAATATGTACATTTTCTTAAACATATGATACCGATACATGTTTGTGTTAAAAATGTCGTGGGAATTCTGCCTACAACGTGTGAAATAAGGAAAAATCGTACCTTTGATGTTCCGAGTGGATCACCAGTGCTGATGCATACGCAAAATTTGTCGATGACATCACTTCCTATGTGAAATCGTAAAAGATGGCAGCACACTTAAATAAACAATATATTTCTGAATGATCAATGTTGGCCATCTCAAAACATCTCCCCCATTTTGCTAAATATGGAAGGAACAAATATGGTTTTATCCACCATA